CAACAAAATCATAACTTTAACCGAAGTGAGTCAGAAAGGAGATCTGCTACTTTTTTTGCACTATTCAAAAATATTAATAAAAAATTGTGCTATATAGAGGCAGCATTTCTTTTAACATTTGGTAAAGTTGATATGGACCTTAGCTCTTGAAACTGTGCTTTACTTCTCTTGTGAAAAATAAAAAATGTGAAAATACATTAGTAACTGGGAAAGAACTTTACTCGATCAAAATGCAATCTCAGGAGGAAAAGGCATATTTATTGGCTGTATCTAACTATGTGTAAGGATGACATTTTAGGCAACAGTAAAAGCGAGCAGTTTTGTGTGACCATGAAAAATCACGTTCAAAAGATATACGTACTTTTTACCCACAGTACTGCACCTTGTTTTCATTAATTTGTTGAACTTTTATCTGTTTCAATTTGATTTAATTTTTACGATATATTTTTGTAATATATTGTGTATTGGTTTTATTATTAAATTGAGTTTATCACCATTTTTCTCTTTTTCTTAATATTTTTAAAATTTAATTACTCATTATTTATTGTTTATTTATTATTATTTTATTTATTTGTTTTACCATTCTTAACAGACTTCCATAGGGCTTCAGCATTTCTGCATATAGAAATTAAGCCCTGTCCTTTTCCAGTGAAAAAGAGATGTCCACTCCCATAAATATATTCTTCTATCTTTATTAGTCCTTTCACACGAGCGGCACAGTCACCAAACTGCTGTCTTGGGGATGGTACGCTAACAAGATGCATTATCTTTTTGGGATCGTCATTTTGTGTTACTAAGGCTAATTGTGGAAAAAATTCACATAAATTAAATTTGTGGCCCAATTCTTTTAATTTTTTGCACTTTGTAAGAGGAACACCCAGATAATCGTTAGAATTAATTTTAAAACTTTATTTTCGCTGCTGTTTGAATTATGAAAAATGTGTGCTCAGTGGTACATAAAATATTCTCCTCACTGCTAGCCTACGTCTAGTGGGCAGGGGAGGGAGATACTAATTAAATTTTCTATCTAAAAATTAATTTGTGGTACAACTGTCCTAAGAGGTAATTTACATACCAATTCTTATATGACCTACTCGGCTGTGAGAGCCAAGGCATTTTGACACACTTGTCCCCAAAGGGTTAAACCCCACCAGTGGCCAAGTCCTTAAGATCACTGAATACAGGTAGTTCAATCCAAATTTGAATCTTTGAATGAGCTGACTGCATGGTTTCCCCATATGTAATCGGAATACAAGTTGTGAGAAAGTTCTCCATGGAGACATTTTTCTGCTTAGGCAGATATGCGTCATGTGATTTGCTGTATTCAAAATACCTATGCTGTCTTTTTCCTGGAATTTTATCTCCAGGTGTGATGCCTTAATTATTTGCTGCACAAATGCTTAATTAGTATATCTTAATTATCTATGCTGAGTTATCTGCTTTCTTAATCTTTGTTTTATTTAGAAACAATACATGTCCTAAGATTTTTAAGTGGTGGATGAATGGCCTTGCAATTCACGTGCAAAGTTTAGTAATGTGGGAAATAATGGGGGTGAACAGTACTGAGTTCACTGAGTAAGTGTGAAATAATGCCTGTTAGTCAAATAAATTTTCCAAATGAAGTTTAAATTACTAGGGAATTGCATGAAGGGTAAGTATGTTAAGGGGTGTTAGAACCCCAAAATCTTCAAAAAAATTTGATTTTGGATTTTTGCATTTTAATATTCTCTACAGTTTTATCCTTCTAAAAATGCCATTCTTTAATCTCTATGAAAATTAGAACTGTAAATAAATCTAGTTTTAATTTGTCATCTGCTTTGATCAATGAGGATTATTACATAAAAACACGTTTTTCTCCAAATGTGATTTTTTTATACTTGATGTACCTCTTCTCAGGAACTACTGCTCACATGTATCTAAACTTTTTATGGATTATTTATTAGGTTTCCTAATATTTACTGAAATGAGCTTTTTGTAATAAACCTAGAAATAAATTTTTTTGTGTGAGAAAAGTGCTAAATTTTACTATGCCTAACAAAATATCTGTAATTTACTCTAAAATTCAAAATGTTTCAAAAGCTCATTTTAGTAAAATCAGATAGGTATACTTTAATTACAGAAAAAATTTCAAGCTTGTATCTACAGCAGATTTTGAGAAAAGGTACATTGAAAATGGCCAATTTAACATTGTAGGTATAGGGCAGTGTTTCTTAACCTTTCTAACGAGTCCCACCCCATTCAATCTGAAAATATATCTCTGCACCCCACTGAAAAGTGTGTTTTAATTTTTTTAGTTTAGAAAATGCATTTTTTGCGAAACTTATTGTTTATTGAAAAACGTACATTTTATATAAATACAAAACAATATTATTTTTATGAATGACTAGTCTGTTGTTTGTTCATTATTATACTGGCAAAGTGAGGTTCCTTTTTTGATAGACATACGCATAAGTCATCACTTGCATTTAAGCGATTTCTCACTTTAGTTTTTATACGCAAAAGCGATGAAAATCAAATTTCGCACAAGTAGGTGGTAGCAAAGGGTAAGAGTAAGTAAATGCACTGCTCCGTTCGCCAACTCTGGATAATATTGTAACTGTGAACACCAGAATTGTTGCAGTTCTAATTGTTCGAATTCCATTTGAACATGTCCACTTGCTCGCATTTCAATAAGTTGATCTTTTTTCAGATCACTATCATCCATCAAATTTAAGTCAAATAGAAATGGATTCCAGTAATCCATCTCTGAGTTTTTGGTAATATTTCTGGTAGAAAAGTATCCATTGAATGATTCGCTCAATTTTCTCAAATGTATTACAATGTCGGGTATATATGTATTCTTTTCATTTTTTGCAATAACAGAATCAAGCAAGGGAAAGTTTGCAAAATTCCCCTTTTCTACTCGACGTATCCAAATTTCTAATTTTGTGATAAATGAAGATAATTTTTCACTAGATATTATTATATTTATACCAAATCCTTGCATTGATAGATTCAATTCATTTAAATGGCTGAATATGTCTGCTAAGTAGACCAGCTTCAGCATTGCATCATTACTCTCAGAATCTTTTACTAAGTAACAGTTTTGACTAGTCAGTAATTGAATAATTTCCTCACACAATTCAAAAACTCTGTTAAGCATGCGACCCTTAGATAATCATCGTATTTCGGTGTGATATAGGAGCACGGTATGATCAGCACTGATTTCTTCGCAAAAATGCATGAAAAATGCGACGATTAAGCGTTCGCCCTCTGATGTATTTTACTACATTTACTGCTGTAGTTAGATGTAGTTTTAAACTTTCTGGCAATGCTTTCGACGCAAGTGCATGACGATGCAACATGCAATGCGTTATTATAACTTCCTGTAAGTATCTTTTCATGTGTGAAAAAAATCTTGAATTTTTGCCTAACATTGCTGGGGCTCCATCAGTGCATATTGAGCCAATCACATTCATTGGTAATTGATATTTAGTAAAAAAATCTTTGATGAGATTGAAAACATCAGTTCCTCTCGTATTCACCTCCTGGGGCTCACAAAATAAAAATTCTTCTATCACCTCTTTTTCCTTCACATTCCTGACAAATACCAAAAGTTGGGTACAATTATCAACATCAGTTGACTCATCCAGTTGCATGCTTATTTTTAGTGGACTGATTTTTATGTCTTCAATTACTTGCATTAAAATATCTTCACTGAGATCTTGTATTTGCGATCATATAATATCATTTGATAATGTAATCTGTTGGATTTTTTTATGTGCTTCCGAATCTAAAACTGTTTTAGCAATAATTAAAGCAGAAGGTTTAATCAACTCTCAACGATCGTGTGAGGTTTCTTTTTTCTTGGCACATAAATATGCCACTTGATATGACGCTTCTAATAAAGGTTTTTGAATTGCTGGTCTGCACAATTTTAGGATAGTTCCACTGGTATCAAACCAAGCCTTCTCTGACTTCAAGCTGTTCATGCTGTTCACGCTTTTTTCGCCACCATGCAGATTGTTGAAATGCTCTAACAACTTTGATGGTTTGAGATTGCTGTTTGAAAATATCTTGGAACACAAGATGCATTGTGGTCGTTGCGTGCTATTTTTTCGGTTGTGCAGGTAAATCCATAACCGGCATATTTATCGTTCCATTTTTGTTTTTTTTAGACATAGTGGGCTTCACTATAATCGGTTTAATTATTTAGAAATAATGTAATATAATATGTATAATGTTCTTACGTTTGTAATATCACTGAATCCTATTCGCCTTGAATGGGCAATTAAGAATGTATTAGTCTGAAGAGGTTTCTGGACAAGTCAGAATACACAATACTTATGTCGCAGACACAATATTTGACTCAACTTGCCTCAACCTAGCACAGGCGCAGTAGATGCAGATACAAATCTGTGAATCCGTAGATTCCATTGGAGTAGCACATATTGAACTCAGCACGTGCGCAAGCTGGCATAACGTTCTCCGCTTGTATTCCCACAAAGTTTTTTTCTTTTCTCCGTCACCTAGCTGCCTGTTCACGTTTGTTTGTAGCATTCATACCTTTTCGTAGCGTAATGTATACGCCCATCGGCACCGTCTCTTTCCTGTGTCTTTTGCCGATAAGTGAGCTAGGTGCTACCAATTTTTATGAGCTTCAATATTGGGGACACTAGTGAAGATTTCAAATATTTTATTATAAGAAATTTAATAAATGATATTTAATAATTTTTATGGTTAGGTAGGGGCTTCTCCCGCACCCCCAAAAATACATTCCCGCACCCCCCGTTTAAGAACCACTGGTATAGGGGTTTCTGATACCCCTTAATCTTCTTTTGCAATTTTTTGTATAGTTAATTGTACCTATGGATTAATTTTTAAAATTTTCTTTTAAATGTATTTTTTGTTTCAACTTTTTCCTATTTAGTTAATCATCAAAATATGGACAAACATTTCCTATAGTGACTTTAATGTTAATTATATTTTTCTGAAATTTATGATGAAAATATTTTTTTCAGGCTAAAAACAATATTATATTGGATGAAGACATTAGAACTGTTGCAATGCTTATTCGTAATCAAATATCATACTTAACTAGAGAAAGAACACGTTACCAGAATAAATTGGCTCTCCAGGAGCAGAGTAATATGAGTAGAGCATCTCAACAAACTCAATTGCAGAATGTTTCAATACAAAATCAACAAGTTCAGATGACTGTACCTCAGCAGTTCCAAAATGTATCTGCACAGCAGCACACAGAGCAACTTTCTCAGCAAAAAATGCAGCAAGAGATGTTTCAGCAGCAAGTTTTTCAGTCGCAAATGCAGCAGATGCAAATGCATATAAATCAGCAAATTAATGCTGTTCCAACACAACCCCAGTTTACTTCTCAGGGTTATGAAGTATCTGATTATCAAACACAGCCCCAGTTACATATGCAAGTATCCCAGTTTCAAGATATTTCATCACAAGGAGGTCAAATCCAGTCTAATCAGAATCAGCAAATTTTGTCCCAAGTTACACATGGGCACATGCAAGCACAGCAAGCTGTTGTTCATCCTCAGATACAACCACAAGTTGTTGCTTCTCATGTAATAAGTCAGACTTCCATTCCCACTTCTGGACCACAGTATCAAAATCCACAAGTTTTGCATCCTCAGCCGATGACATCACAGAATCAAAGCATATCAAATCAATACCAAGCATCAAATCAAGCATATTCACAATATCAACATGGTTCCACCTCAAAGTCAGTCAACACAAGTACCTAGGTATCCTAACCAAGCACCTCTGCTCAATAAGCAACAAGTTACTTTAGAAGGTAATAGTACATCACCGGACCAGTATCAGAATGTAAGTCAACAGCAAGCTTCCCATCACATCATTCAACCACTTAATGGAAATTTAACTTCTTTGTCAGATACATATCAGATGTCAAGTCAGCAACCTGTATTGCAGAACTTTGCATCTTCTGCATCAATACAAAATCAACAAACAATCATAACATCTCAGCATTCATATTCCCAAAATGTGCAAAACATGCCTGCTTTGCAAAATCAATCTCAAAGTCCTCAAAAAATTGTGCCTCCACAACAAATTCAAACGCAGCTTTCAAATATGAACTCTCAGCAACTTAATCAAGCTACCGTATTTACCCATCAAGGACACCCTCAGAGTCCACAGAAGGAGAGAGTTCTGTCACCTCAGCAAGTAAGTTTTCCATTATCTCAGCACAGTCAAATTTAAACTTGTAGATCTGTTCATGTTAAAAATGTAAATAATAATTGGCTTTTAAATTTGCAGTCTGTTAAACCTGCAGTTCAGTATCAGGGTTTTCAAGATGTGAATATTCAGAACAATCAAACATATCAGAATTATCAAGACATGCAACATATGTATGTTCAACCACAGCTTCAAGCTGCTGTTACTCCAGGACCCAATAAACAATGTAGTCCTGGTGAAATTGGGGACTTGCATGATAAAGAGTCATTTGATAGAGCAGCTGGCAGCCAACTGAAACAAGATGCAGTGTCACGACAGCCATCAGTTGAATCCGATGGATTGACAGCAGAAGTTGCAGAAGAATTAAACTTAATACCTACTGATGGCATTTCATCAGGTATGCTTAAAATTACTTTAGTTTTTATACAAAATGAAAGAATTGAATGTTTCTTAGGCAAATTTTAGTGAATAAAGAAAAAAAAAGAGGACATGCTTGTAACTACCTGTCTCTCTTCTCTGTCTTTCTCTCTCTCTATATATATATATATTTACAGTACCTAACACTAATTAAAATCACTTCTGTTCCATACATATTTAAGTGGCTGGCTGCCAATTTTTTTTGTTGCAAACTATGATATCAATTTTAAACTTTTCTAGTAAAATGATAACTAGCAACCAAATCCAATAATTAATTGTAAAATAAAATTGAAACATAATGCTAAAATTGAACTGTTTATGTAGTTCTGATATTTGTATTTCAATTTTTTATATGAATACTTTTATAATTGCATACTTGATAACATTTTAAACTTTTGTAATGTTTGTTTTGCATGCTTCATAAACAATTTTTCATTTGTGTTTTCAATTTCATAAAATTGCTAGTATCTTTTCGTATTTGCAGCATTTAGTTCAAGAGTTTTTCTTAGAATTTACAGTGCTTTTTAAAATTCGATTGATGTCATCTCATTTTCCTGTATAATATTCAATGCCAGTTTCTACATTTCCTGTAGCACTTTGCGTAGCTGAGGGTAAAAAGACTGAGATGGTTTTTACTCCCATTGTCTGTCTCAGAATTGCCATCAGTTTGTATGTAATGTAAAAATAAATTTTCATAACTTCAGTCTCTCATGTCTGAAATATTAGGTGTAGCCTTACAGTTATTTTTATATTTCATCTACATAAAAAGTCACATTTCGAAAATAATTTTATCTGTGTTCTAAGAGATTAACTCATCATTGACTGTAACACCTGTGATCTTTACAGATATAGACTTATTTATCTTCTTTGAATTCATTTTCACGAGATTTACTTCTTTTCGGCAATGACATTTGGAAGCTCTTTTAACATCTTGGTCTAATGCCTGAATGTGAGAAATTGTATATGCAGGAAGACGCACTGTTTTCTAGAAAGAAATTGGAGGTTTGTGTACTTAGCACTTATATAATTAGCACAGCTACTTTCTTCGTTCTTGAGTTCATTCTTATTTCAAAAGAAAATCTGTAAAAATACTAGTTGTCATCCATGTTTTGTTGCTGCATGAAAATCCTGACTCCTTTCAAATATTGAGGTTTTCTGCCTTTATCTGTTATCAGTACATTCTTAATTATTGGGTCCATATTGCACATTAATATCACCGAAAATCATTCCTTCAGTTTCTTAAACCATATACTATTTTAGCCCACATTCCTATGTATTATATATTTCATGTGGCTTACATTTATTTAGTATCCCAGATAAATTATCTTTTTTATCTAGTTATCACACACATGAAGATCTGCCTCTTCCTTCTTACAGTGCAATTTCAACTGAAGAGTGTTAAGATTTCTCTCTTTCCATCTTGTAAGCTATCTGTCACTTGTTAAAAAATTCTCTCCTTGTATTTTATAGAATTTCAGAGCATTGGTACTGAAAAGAGCTCTAGAGGTAGAAATATTTCCTAGCTTCAAAGCTTGAAATAATTCTAGGAGAGTAGTGTCAATGTATGCTGATTTTCTATCGCTTTTCTGCACTTCCTTGAGACATTTCTAAGTGTTGTTAATTTATGAATTATAATTATTTTTAAGTAAATTTCACAATGTTTGAAAAATTCAGTTTAACTGCAGTTTTTCATCAGCTGCACTTAACAAAAACATCAAGATCTTTTAAGAATTTTTCTTTTTCTCTTAGGCTTAAGTCTCTTTGATTAGGCATTTTTCATCTTACAAGTTAAGTACAGAATAAATTTAAAAAAAAAAAAAAAAAAAAAAAAATTCTTTTTACAGTGTCAAAAATCGCATTTTTAACCACCAGAAAGATTGCATATTGTTAATTTGATTTGTTATTTCATGATTAGAGGAATGATCAATATGTTCTTTGCCTTTTCTTCAGTTTCAGTTAACATTTCCTTTCCATTCAAAGACTGTTATGTATGATAATGCTAGGAAGTAATCCATGAACGTTTTTGAGAGCTCTATGAACATAAGTGAACCTTCAAAGATAAGATGCAGAAGTTGCAGTTCTTATCAGTTGGTATTCAAAAAAGAAGTCACTCATTTACAATGACCTTTGTTGTTAGCATTAAAGTAAGGAAACTTTGTATATCTGAGCTTTTGGAGTATGAAAAAAGAACTCCGAGAAAGTGTCGTATAGGTACAGGGGGGTGCTGAAAAATTTTGGTCAAACCAGCTTTATTGAAGCAGTGCATAACTGAATGATAAATAAGCTACCATACACAATAAGTAAAATGGATGCTGTATAAACAGCTTTGGTTGATACATGTGGCATATTCTGGCAATGAAAGCATTAGTCATTTGTTAATCTGAGTTTTATAAGCAGCAGAGATGACTTTAAGTGATGGCAGTTTTACTATCAATTAGTATATATTAAATTTTTTTTTTTAAATTTTTGTTCTTGGGAATTTGAATGTATTATGTGACTGGTTTTATTAACCAGTGTGTTTAATAAGCAACAAGTGTTTAATGTACATGCATTTTAAAAGATGAATTACTTTTATTAATGTGTAAAGAATTTTCTGTAGAAGCTTATTATGAAATTATGAAAATGCACTATTGAAAGATTTTTAACATTCTTTAAAACTTAGTTCATAGTGAATATTAGTAGCATTTAGAGTACTAGAAGATAAATGAGATTGTAGTTATAATATTTATTCATAATGGTGATGCTTGCCATAGATGCTTCTAAAACTTGTATCTTATGATGTAGCCTGCATGCAAATCCATTTTTCATTTATATTATTTATTTGCATTTCTATGTGCTAGATTACATATAGAAATTATTTTAGAAATACAGGGTTATTCTAAATGATTCAGGTCAGCCAGTGGGTGAGTTGTAAAAGTTGGAAAACTGTAAACGAGTTCTCCCTAGACTCTATTCTTGACAATTTTGTGTTTTTCCTTTTGTGTAACATAAGTGTATTGCACTTTATTTTAGAAAATCCTCCATGAAAGTAGTCCTCTCCACTTTTTTTATTTAAGAAAGCAAATACAAAACTCCTTGTGTTCCAGGAAGTATTTCACAAGGCTTACAGATGTAAGTAAATAACTCGCATTACAAGGAATTGAACAATAACAACAAAAAATCTAGGCCCTGGAGGGGGATAAAATACAAATACTACTATAATAAAAATACTAAAATACAAAGAATAATTAAACTATGTAAATACTCCTATAAAGGGGGGAGGAACAACTTAAAATAATTCAATAATAATAATAAAAAGGGAATAATACTTCAAGACTGCAAAGGCTTTGAAACTCCTAACAAAGAAAACTGGAGGCCAGCAAATAGAGAGCAGCCCTAAACTCACTTTAAATGCATTTCTGGCAGTCGCACGCAATTCACAATGCAGTAAAATATTTGGCAGATAGATAGCCTTATTGTACTTTTGGAATACTCAGTCCAATCAATCCAATCCATTCAAAATGACTGACATGATTTCAAATGGCATTGTTTCCTGAAATTTATGCAGTGACAGGTAGTATGTGACATGAAAAGAAAATCGTTGAATTCTCTCACAGTTGTACTATGTAACTTTCTTTTAGCTATATGAACAACATTCAGGCAGTGATCAAATTCTTGCTCTAGCATATCCTTTGTTGTTTATGCAGCAATAGCAGTGGACTTTTTATGATAAATTGGGCTTGTTGAAAATAGCGAGCTAGGCAAATTTTAACAAAAGATAAGCAGTTTATATTTTAAAAACAAGATATCAAGTCGTAATTAGATATTCTTTTTATGTAAACAGAATATGTGAATAATCACATAAACAGAATATGTGAACACAATAAGAAATAAGGAAATGTAAGAGGGGGGGGAATTTAAATTTTGAAGAATTAAAGAAAAATTACAAAACATTGCAAAAATTACTTAAAATAAGAAATAAATTTAGTTATAAAGCACGCTCTATGTCAGAAACTGCCATACATTTTTTTTTTTTTTTTTTTTTTTTTTTTTCCAATTTCATAAATGTTAGGATCTGTAAAGAGAATTTTAAAATTGAGCAAAGATGTTTCAAATAAAGTTTTATACAATGTTTAGGATTGAATTTTCATAAAGCCCTTATTCTTTCAGATTTGAGTAGAATGTCATTAAATCTAAAATATGTTATATAAAGATCTTGTCATGGAAATATTGTTCATTGAGCTGAATGCTGATTTAGATTCAGTGTCACTAATAGTGATAGTCTCCTCCACCATTAAGAATTTTGTCATGTAATTTTGTTGTTGGAGCTCTCTTGATGGAATCTCAAAAACCGTATATATTTATTTCATGTCTTGAAATGAATGAAGTTTAATGTTTGTAGCCTTTCTTCTTTCAGCTGTAGCATATGTTACATTTTTTTATTCCATGTCCGGATGACATACAGTAGAAAAGGTATTTTTTCTCATCGTAATAAGAGTAATTTGTTCTTGCTTTCAATGATAATTTCTTCAGATTCCTTTGATTTTAAATATTGTGTGTATTTTAGATTTGTGGAAGCCATAAGAATTTAAAAAATTATTAGTAGTATTGATTTTACTTCTTTTTATAATGTTCATATTATGAAATTTTAGAGCTGACAGGTAATTCTTTCAGGATATTGATCATTTTTTTTTTTTTTTTTTTTTAAATTTACAAATTTAGTTTGAAAATACTTACATTCAACACTTTATGAAAAATATTTGCATAAAGCTGACACAGTAAAAATAATTCATAAACTCCCTGCTGTTCATCATGATCGAATCATGCTGCCAATATTTTGATACCAATGATTTTCCATTTTATTTCCATTATACATATAACTGAACATGACGCCAAATGAATGAAAAGTTTGCATGAAGGAATAGACTAATGTAAGTCAAAGTATTATTATGGCATGTAAGACATATGTTTTCTTTGCATGAATAAACAAGCAAAGAGAAAGAACAATTGTTTTGAGAGCCCTCATGTTCATGACTGTTTGCTGGTAAATATACTATGTATGTTACATGTTCTACAACTTCAAATGAAAAAATCACATGACATACATTCATGCAAACTAAGTGGCCACCTATGGATTGAATCATTGGTTTCATAGTAACCAATCAAGTTTTGATGTTCCTCTTTAATAAGAAAATATTTAATTCTATAATTGCCACTAGGACAGTGCCATATTTTGCTGAAAGTAGTTGGTAGAACCTTCATTCATGTAGGAAGACAATCAAATCTAAAATGCATCCAAATGGGAGCCAGCAGTGTTTTCTGGGATGTAGATAAAGCATATTTACTTAAGGTAGCTCGCACTACATTTTTTTTTTTTTTTATGTGCAACGTAGTCACTGAAAAATCCCCAGACTTGTTAAAAAAAATTTTGGTTTAAAAAAAAAAAAAAAAACTTGGAGGCCCCATGAAAGTAAGATCTTTTTTTGGTGGTTCTCTAAACTCTTACTTTGTTTAAACTTAGATATTTATGTATATCAGTTAAATACTCAGAAATTAGATCACAGAATCTTGATTGTCTGGGGTAAGGCCAATCATTTTGAACAACCCTGTATTCGAATTGATTGTCAACCACTATGTATGGAATCAAAGCACTGAGTAAAATGTTAGTTGTATTAAACGCATTTTTCTCTCCTTCTTTTAGATATCTTACCAGATGCTTCTCACTTACCACTTGGTGCAAATATCCAAAATAACGTTACACAGGTTAGGCAAAGTTTTTTTAAGACTTATATATTTTACTGTGAGTGAATTTTCTAAACAATATGTAGAAACTCCATGACCAAAATTTAAGAAATGCTTTCCTGTTTTCATGCAACATATCATTTTTAATGTTAGCAATTTTATTAAAAATTAATATTGCACCTGATTCTATACCTGTCCTTGTAATTTTAAAGTTCATGGTCTGAATTCAGTTTATTAGCAATACATGAATTGTGTTTTAAAGTACTACCGATTCCTTTTTTTTGGGGGGGGAGGGGGGACATGTTTCAGTGATGAATATTAAGAATAAGTAAAATTAAAACGTTGAAATGATAGAGAAAAATAAATATCGTTAAAACTTAAAAATTATACTTTATTGCAACAGTAAAGAAACAACTTTATTTTTAAATGTGGTAAAACATTAAAAAACATATTCTGATGTTGATTTTGTTTACTGTCATTTTTATAAGCTGTTAATAGGTATTTTATGGGGAAGACCAAAATTGCAAACATAGCAGAAAACTAAAAATCTGTTGCTCTGAAATCCATCAAGGCGTGAGGTCTATGCAGTCTTTCAGATGTGAACTTGAAATGGAGATGGCTTTGGTGTCTCTCATTCAGTATTGAAGCAAGCTATTGTATTAGTTGCAATTTTTATAACTCTTACTGAATGAATATTTTGCTAAAAATAAGTAAACTTATATACATAACTGAAAAATTAACTCTGCAATGTGTTAAATGAACAAGACTGCAGTAATTAGAATTTTGGTACTCTTTTTTTTTTTTTTGATGGGGCAGCAGTCATGTATAAACATGCTAGTGATAGTACCTTATGGTTCCTCAAGGTCCATGCCTTGTGGTTCAAATAATCAAAAGGTGAAGTTATATTTTAATAGCAAATTTTCTCAAAAGCATTGTAGTCTACGATTATGCCATGAAAAGAGATGCTAAACTGAAAACTGGTTCAATGAAATTATTTAATTCATGAAATAATTTCCATGAACAGTTTTCTGAAAAATTTATGTATTGTATTTTTGAGCAGTGACATGTCTTTAATGTATCATTAGGGTTGCCATTACTTTTTTCAGGCTGCATTTTGTGCCAACGTGTATGACTGGAAACCAGTGTAGCAGCAGCCACACTAACAGCATAGCAGCAGTTAGCTACTATGCAAAATTATGATGGTGTTTAGACTTATTATGATAGCATGTGATATTAAATTATGATAGTAAAAATATTAATGCAAGATTATGATAGTGCATGGTGGGACAATAAAGAAATTGTCTATTAAGAATTGTTGCCATCAAATCAGACAATAAAGCCCACCAGCGGTAGTAGCCCACCACCATTCGCTGAATACTGGTAGTTCGATCCGAGGTTCGAATCCTGCGAATGGGCTTTCTGCATGGGTGTTTTCGTGGTTTTCCCCATGTGTAATGTGTATACGAGCCAGTTTCCCTTAGAAAGTCCTCCATGAAGGCATCCCTTCCCTTAGGCAGATAGTCCTAGTGTGCCTTGCCATAAATACACCAACACTAAATCAGGCAATAAATTTGGAAAATTTGCAAATAGCAGTTTTAAAAGCAGAAGTTGAAGTTAAGTACTTGGAACTGACCAGTCATCAAGGTATTGTCCTTCATTATGGAAACACTCAGCCCACATTCCAAAGAGTGTCAAACAAAGAATTATTGAGTTTGGCTAGGATGCTATTACGACTAGAACAGAAAATACTTTTTCCTTCACATTAGAATGGCAAATGATTATAAATAAACTCATGATTGTCATGTGAGTAATGGTGAAAAAATTAATTTAGTTAAAAAAAAACTGTATAGTTGTTATGGAAGTAATGACTCTTAAACAGTTATTACTTATTCTTTTTTTTTTAATTCTAAATCTGATAATTTTTTCATATATATCTTGAAATTCATAAAATTGTGAAATCTCCATAATCTGGGATCTTATGTTGTGTGGATGTTTTACTTCCTACTGTGTTTATAATAAATTGCCCTCCAAAAGTAAAGGAACACCATGTTTTTCAAAGCTCATGTTACAAAAATATCAGTAACATTTAAATTCATACTTTATAAGCATTATAATAATGAAGTTTAAGAATATATATATGCAAAAACACTTTTATTTTATAGAAGTGAATACTTATATAGAGAAGTCAGAAAAAAATGCGAAACCTGTAAGTTTTGTTCATTGGTGTTGATCTTCAACTGTTATTAGCAATTTCATTGACAATATCCTGGAGAGTGTCAATGTCTGAGAGAAGTCGTTTGCTTGATTCTTTGAGGTGGCAGGCAATCGGTTGGATGGAAATGGGGATGTCACAAGCTGGTGGACTTCTCAGTGTCTCTCATAGTGTGGTCCACCGACTATGGAATCAGTTTGAATCCGGGGATTTTGTGTCTAGAAGACATATTCCAGGTAGACGTAGAGTTACAACAATCTCTTTCGGTATACCTCTTTTGGCCTGAAGGAGGAGGAGCAACATTACTGTGCCTCAGCTCAAGGTAAATCATTTAGTGACAACAGGAACAATAATCTTAGCTACTATAGTGTGCAAATGGCTGTACAATGCAGGTCTGTATGCAAGATGGCCAGTTGTTTGTGTCCCCTGTACCTAAGAACACAGAGGTATCGGTTTATGTAGGGTAAGCAGATGGCTGTATAATGCAGGTCTGCATGCAAGACGGCCAGTTTTTTGTGTCCCCTGTACCTAAGAACACAGAGGTATCGGTTTATGTAGGGTAAGCAAACATGCCTCCTGGACCAGTCAAAAATGGGTGTCTGTTCTCTTCACAAATGAGGGCAGGTTTACATTAAAGAGTGATTTAGGTTGTCAGTTGATCTGGAAGGAACAACGCACCACATACAAAATCCCATATTGTGCAAAGATACAGTTACAAAGGTTTCGGAGTAATGGTTTGAGATGGGATCTCTCTCGGTGGTCGCACTGAACTGCATGTGTTTCATGGAAGAACTTTGACTGGTATGAGATATCGAGACAAGATCCTTGATGAATATTTTCGACCACATGCCGCTGCTACTGGCTCTGGATTTTTTTTTTGATGAACAACAATGCGTGACTGACTGCCCCGAGCTTGAGTTGCTGAAGAATATCTTAAGGGTCACGGTATAAAGCGGAATGAATGGCTTGCTCAATCTGCAGGCTTGAATCCGATAGAGCATCTTTGGGACTACTTTGAGAGACAGGTTGCAGCTTCAAGTCTCCTTCAAGGTCGTTAGAGGAGTTTGAACTAGAATTACTCCATGTCTGGTCATTGCTTCCCATTTCACTGACTGACAACTTCATTGACAGAACGGAACGTCACTGCTACCAATGTATTGCAGCTAGGAGTGGATGCATTCCTTATTAGAATTCATTTCTGTAATATTGCCACCACATTTTCCTGTAAAAAAAGTGATGTTCTGTTTCTCCAAGACTGAATGCCTCTGCCAAGAGTGCAATTTTCTGCTGTAATTTATTTTTTTGTTGATCTTAAAATGCATTCTGTGTCACATTCATTAAAGAACTGCATAGTGAACATGTCCTCTTAATTTCTTGTTTCTGCATTTCTTTATTCTCAAATTAGACACGGAAAACATGTTCTTCCTTAACTATTGGATGGCAGTGTATATGGGAGAAAAGATGAAAATGTTATATACTGTTGTTATTGTCATCAATCTGTGGCATAAGTAATTCTTAAAGCTTTTAAGTATCAGCATTAGAAATGTAATTTTATGGGGTACTTTTGCACTCTTGTGACAGTAAATTATCAATACTTCAACAAGATAAAACTATATCTTTCAAGCTTGCAGTGCGTGGACTGGATTTGTTTTTAGATTTGTATTGCTGATAATGGTAGTAAAGATTTTAATAATATTCGTAATTATGTGAAGTACTTGAGGTACTTATCTGCAGAGCAAAAATAATAAAGTGCTAAATTTGTTGATTAAATATAATTAAATGTTTTTCCTGTTAAATGTGTAATTTGAAAGTATGTGTATTTGAGCTACAAAGCAAGTTGCAGATTGTATTTTTGAGGATCCAAACAAATGTTAGAAAAATGATTTTTGAAACTACTGAAAATGTAATTCCATGTGTTGAACTGTATTAAATAAAATCCGTGAAAATTCTTTTTAGCTTTGGTATTTTATAGTTTATCGATCTTGCATTTGTGTTGTTGGATCAGATTTTATGCAAAATTAAAAGTTGCGGCCCACCAGCGGCCGAGTGGTAAAGTCGCTGAACACTGGTAGTTCGGTCCGAGGTTCGAATCCCGCGAACGGGCTGGCTGCATGGGCGTTTTCGTGGATTTCCCCCATGTGTAACGTGTATACGAGCCAGTTTCCCTTAGAAAGTCCTCCACGAAGGCATCCCTCCTCTTAGGCAGATAGCCCTAGTGGGCTTTGCCATAATTAAATACACCAAAAGTTGCAGTTCAGTCGTTTGAAATCCGTGGTCTGTAGTTTTAAAGTTCAGTTTTTAAATATACAATTACTTTTGTGTTTTAAAGTTCACTTTAATGCACAAAAGTAATTGTAATTTCATTAGATCTAGGAGATACTAAATCCAAACTTCTGTAAAGTAATTATTGTACTTTTCTTAATAAGAATAAAATACATCTAATTAATTGTGCTTTTGAATAGCATTCATAGGTATTTTATTTGAAGTAAAAGTGAGAAATAATTAACACATTAATAATAAAACTAGTGCTCTTTTATTCTGCACATTGATTTATAAGGTAATCACATTAGATTTCAGAGGAAACTATTTTAAAATAATTTTGTTTTTAAACATTGGACTTTTATTATATTTTGCAGCTTTGCCTAATATGATACTGTTGTGTGTCAATAATACTGTCGTGTATTATTTTGCAGTTTATTTTGTACTATTTTGCAATTTTGCCTAATATACTGTCATGTGCCTAATATGATACTGTTGTGCCATTGGAAATTCACATAATTTTTTTAATCAAGAAAAGTTGTTGAAACGATGAAATTTTCGTTAATCTATGCGGTAATATAGATTTTTCAGAATTGTGATATTACAGTGTTATTTATTGCTTCATCTGGAAAGTTACAGTTTTCCAATCAGAGCATATTTTCTTGTAATTATTTTATTACTGCTCTGAGGATGAGGGATCTTGATTGAAGCAGGTATGTGAATAATGTCTTTTCTACTTATGTTGCATAATTTTAGCATGTTTTGGAGCATAATTTTTGTTTCAGGTCGGTGCTAAGGATGGAGAACCCAAAAGTTCATTTCCATTATATTATGCTCTTTTATTTTAAAAAGAAAAAACTCCTAGTTTTGACTGCATGAAAATTTGGACAGTGTTTGTGTATCTATGTGTACCTCGCAAAGTGCTGTTTGTGGTATCATAATTGAAAGCTGGTTTGTGAAGTGTGGAATTTCAGCTGAATGACCATACTCTTTTTACAAGGACCTGTTGGAAGAAGCTATCTCTGAAAAATCTCAATTCGTAACTATACAATTAAATTTCAAAATATCGTGAGGTAAGCCTAATGAACCTCCTTCAGTAACATAGAGGGGGGGGGGACTGCATCCTCCAAAAGTAATGCTTTGTGTATGGTGGGATTATAAAGAAATTGTGTATTAAGAATCATTGCCATCAAATCGGACAATAAATTTGGATAATTTTCCAAATGGCAGTTTTAAAAGCAAAAGTCGAAGCAAAGTGCTTAGAACTGACTGGTCATCAAGGTGTTGTCTTCCGTTATGAAAATGCTCATCCCCACCTTCCAAGTAAATATCAAACAAAGATCTATTGAGTTTGGCCGGGATGTTTAGTGTCACCTCTCATACTCAGATTTTCACCCTTTATGATCACCTCAAATTTCTCTGCATGGCCTGAAGTTCATATTCTTGGAGACTGTTAAAACAGTTCTTTGTAGGCTATGTTTATTTGTAAGGAAGTTATCAGTTTTTTTAGCTGCCAGAGAGATGGTGAAAAGTCATTGGAAAAAATGGTGCTTATGTAATTCAGTAAAATTTTGTTGGGTTTTTGTATTTGTATTTATCATAAAAGACCACAACTTTGCAGATGACCCTGTGTAAATAACTCATGAAGCAGTGGGGAAGACATTTGGAAATGTGTAAATAAACACTATCTTGAAATAGATTATAAATGCTTGGTAATATTGTCTCTTATCTTCTAATTGCAAGTTTGTTGTCCTGCAGTTCTTGAAACAAGAAGTAAAACAAATGTGAGCTTCACTCTTCAAGTCTCAGAAGTGTTTGCCTTATAAGTGCTGTTTGCTTTTCGTGTTTTCTTCTTTATATTGTGGGCACTAGACTAATACATGTTATTAAATTTCATACCTCAGATATGCACTTTAAATGTAGTATGCAGTCAATTTTAATATTTTAAGTTCAGCAGTTATGAGCTATAAATACCAAAGTAATTTTGTATGTGATTTGCGGATCTAAATTAATCAACAAATATCCTTCTCTATCTGACATCAGGCATTCAGCAGGAAAGTGAGAAATATCCCATCTTGATCACAAAGAATTTTCTGTTTTGCATTAGCAGAAAGAATACTTAGTCACATAATTTTGTTTTAAATTGATAAATGAAAAAAAATGATGAATATTTAAAATGTGGTTTATTCATGACTCTGTTTCTGATACAGTCCTTAAATAACATACCTCGAAAGTCATAAAATGCCATATTAGTCAGTTTTCCACTGAATACCTCTTATTTTACAACAAGCTGCTAACTTAAATGCTTTTAATAAAGACTGCATTGAAGATGTATGTTGAATGTTTTAGGCTGATTGCTTTATGATTGTGTGTTTCTGAATGGTTTCACGGTTTCATCATTTATCCTTTTCCACATGTTAGCTTTCCTTTCCCATAAAGGGTTGAATATCACAGCGCTGATTTCTTTATTTTCAGTTTTTTATTGAACATTTCATAAATATGCTATTTGATTTAAAACTTGTTTTTATTTTAACGTATTTGAATTTGCAAATATTTCCATTGGATGTTATCAGTATTTGTAATTTAACCTTATGTGTAAAATACTTTTTCTGATACACTTTTTATAACCTTTTTAGCATACTTCAGACCATTCAGGACAGAAATATATTTTTGTTCCGGGTGTACAGCAAGCTATGAATGTGGATAGTCAAACAGTTTTACCAGTACAAAATCAAGGACCTATGCAAGTGTCACAGAGCCACTTGGGAGGTCAACCTCAACCTCATCTGGATCCAAACTTCTCTAGTGTTGGATTATCTGGAAAACCTCTAGTAGGTTTTTCTGCTTCCTTTTGTCATGCCTCTGTGGGACAAGATACAAGCCTTTATGCACAGCATTATCAGAATTATCCTTATTCTTATACTTCCAAAAATTCAACCAGCATATGGAACACTGCATCTACTGCTTCGGTCTCTAAGAGTTCTTTGAGTAATTGTTTTTTCCCCCCAAATGCAAATAATATGCCTCAAAGGGGTAGTAGTATTAATTCTCAAAATGATGGGTCTAAGTCTCCTGTTTTTATTATTATGCAGCCTCCAGGAAATGTTAATTGTTCTCAATATCACGTTATAAATTGGAGTAATGATGCCATTTTGTACAGTTCCTGTGATTCATCAGTGACATCAAGTACTCCTTATTATCATAGAGTCCATGGTGACACAGGTCCATGTTCTGTTAGATCTTTACCAACATCTAATCTTTGCATTCCATCAGTTCAGCCGCATAGTAATTCAAGTGTGTGTTCACTTCCCCATAACATCCCCAACACTGATTCAGTACTAGTGAACACGAGCAAATATTCCAAATTTGTTACACCTGTTGGCAGTAGATCTGTGTCTCCTGTTTCTCAGTATTCTTTTAGGCTTGAAAATGATTCTCCAATACCCACCCCTCCTCCACAAATAATATCGTCCCCTCCAAATTTAACTCCACATTTGTTACATCCTGAATCGAGAGTTGGAATTCCAGTTATTTTATCCCCTAAACATTCACCTCCATCTACTCCATTGCATGTTAATTCTAGATCAGCAACTCCTATTGCAAATGCGATTTTAGACCACTCATCACAATCAGGTTTTTTAAATACTGGTGTGCAAAATATTTGTAATCAACCATCATTGTTAAATAATAATTGTCCTCAGTTATTAAACCCTTCAAGTCAGCTTTATCGCTCCAGATCAAAAACATTTGGAGGGACGGGTGTTATTCCGCAAAATCCTAGGCAGATTTTAACTTCTCAGCATTCTGATCCCAGGCACAATTTATCATCAGTTCCATTTTCAGTGTTGAACCATCTGTCTCTCCCACAGAATTCCAGTTTGAATGATTCTTATCGAAACAGTTTCACAGTTATTCCATTTGAGAGATCTGGTGGACATTCTCATATTCATTTGCCAGATAGTGGACCATTTGTGGCTTATCCTTCCTCTTCTCATTTGTTTATGTCATTGGCTGTAGAAAAAAGTCATAAATTGAATTCCCCATTGGAAAATATTTCCCAGAATCCTCCATTTGCCAAAAATTGTAAAGTTGAGGAATCACATTACATGTATAGTTACCCTTCTGTGCCGTATAGCACTACTGTACATAGACAACAGAAAGCATCTGTGGACAGCACTATCTACAGACCAGGGGCCAGCCATCTTACTACAGTTTCTTCTCCTGATTCAAGTCATGAGCAACACTTCAGTCCTGTAGGTTTCAGAACTGTTTCCAGCTCCTATAATGCCTCTCAAGTCGATCAAGTCAAGGTATCTGATGTGTGTCAGTAAAGTAGAAGGTTGTTTCTCCATCAAGGTGCATGCGCTTGATTGCTTTTGTCTTTTCAATTTTTCACGCCAAATTTAAATCAGTGAAGTACTGCAGTTCCACCTCATATTTTATTAGATAATGAAGTAGAAAATTACAAGTAGAGTGTAAATTATGCATTCATTGAATGGCAGTGTTTTTTGTTACTGCCTATGATCAATAAAAAACAGGCCAAAATAAGGGGAAATAATTCATGTAATATTAAATCTGCTACCAAGTAATTCAAAAACTGCATAGGATAATAACCTTCTTCAGAATTTTAAAATTTCTGAGTTGATTAAATGAGTAAAATGCGTGTATATTAATTGAAATCAAGAGTAATAAAATTTCAGGTAAACTGCAGTTCTAAATTGATTTCAGTCCCTGAAATTTGGTATTGGGAGACTTTCTCTTTTCTGTCAGTTTCTATCTGTCTTCTCTTCACTGCTGTCAATAATCTTTTTCAACTATGTTGTGCTAATAGTTTGATGCTGCTTTCTTATTTTGGGATTCTTTATTGCTGTTAAATTCCATTAGATTATTCATATTAGCTCCACTGAAATCAGAATCATGCTTTGTACTTCATAAAATTTCAGCTATTGTCTGGCATTTTGCAATAAATATACCAACTCATTTCTACTTTTTATTGTAGAGTTAGCGGCAGTAATAATAAAGCAAATTATAAATTTATATTGACACTAGTTTTGTATGAATCGTGATAGAGTGAATGCTAGTGTTTCCAGTCTATATTAAGTTGTACTTCTAATAAATTAAGAATAATTCTGATATTAATTTCTCATTTATTATATATATATATATATATATATATATATATGTATTATTTAAAAATAAATTAGCGTGTTCCTTAAATTTCAGTATGTTTAATTGCTGTTTTGACTCGTGTTTAGGTGTTTTTTGTTTCAAGATATGTCCTAAAAATCCATTCGTTAGTTATAGTGAACTTTTTTTTTTTCCATGCGAGGCTATTGCATTGATTCCTCATTAACCTTGTGAAATAATTTATCTACTTGTTCTGTATGCTTAGTCTAAAAATTTGTTTGATTCATTTCAAAATAGGTTATAAAAAGGGTATGATTATGATAAGTAGAGGTAAGCTAATAAGACTGATATTTACTGAGAACTATTTAAAATAAAAGGATCTTAAAAGGAAAGTATGTTTCTATTCTATAACTGTATAAATTTTCATTATTTATCATAGGTTAATTATGATTTCTTCACAGTCATTTAAGAAGCGCCCATTAATATATGCTCCAAATTGTATTTTTGGGGACTGTGCTTAAAAATACAACTCTGCATTCGTATGAGTTGCTGTCTACAAAGCTTATTACAAGCATATTTTCCTATGTAAATATTGTATATGACAGTACAGAATTTAACATAAAATCATTGCACTAATGTCAGTATATGGAGTTTTTCTCAGGTTAAGAGTCTTTTCATCCTTTTTTTAAACTGTATTTATCATTTAATAAATATTTATTAAATTTTTCACTGCTAAATATGCACCATGTTCACAAAAGTCCTTATTCAGCCTTTGTTTTCATAATCGTTGGTCTCGCATATGTACTTCCACTTACAGAAGTATTTTAAATGATGCAGATATTTATGTTTTGCTGTTTTTTGATGCACAGAAATTTGTTTTATTAATGTTATGAAATGTCACTTTCTTTTGTATTCTGTTTCTTATATTTAGGAAAATTTTGCCCATGTTATAAAAAATAAAAAGTGTAACTTCTGTTAAAAAAATTAACTTGAGATATGTAATATTAAAGTCTGATCATATTTAGAGGGGTGCACACAAATTGAAGAGAAAAATTTTTTATTTATATGTAACTAAAAATAAAGTACTGGTTTAGAGATTTTTTTTTTGTTTGTTTGTTTGTTTTGTTTTGTTAAAAGATTAAATGACAAGTATTTCTATGCAGATTATTGTGAAAAGCATTAATGAATATATTTTTTTAATTGAAATCTTATTTACAAGATCATATAGAATTTGTGTTTTAGAAAACACCGGCAGGCTTTGCCACATAGCCAGCATGCTAATAACAAATTAAAAATATTTATGGTTTAATGAACTTTTTGTACGATTACCACGTTACATGATGTGCAGTTTCCTTTTTTTAATCCAATGGTGGGCACTTGGCTATTCAGCATTGGCCACTCCTAAGGCCAAAAGTGGAGGCACCTAATAGGCAGCCACCGTTGCTTCATGTGACAGACAGTTACAAACATGCCTTCTCTGAGATTGGAACCTGGGCCCTTCGGTATCGCAGAACGCCCCCCTAACTACTACACCATCTGGGTGGCATGTTTCTAAAGTGATAGAATTCTATGAGAATATTAATTACATATTTTAGACTTTGAAATCGTATAAATTACTTATGTGAAAATTTTCTGTGAATTTCAAATGTAACAAAGTTGTTAAATAAAGTCTGTACCCCATCCCCACCCAAAAAAAAAAAAAAAAAAAAAAAAAAAAAAAAAACAGTGCCTTTAAGAAGAAAAAACAACCTGAATTAATCTGTTTAGTAACTGACCTCTCAGTGCAAACAAAATGATGATAAAAATTGTAAGTTTTGAAATTGGATACATGTTTTTTTGTCTTAAAGTTTGACTTTGTTTTTTAAGTAATGAGTATAAAAGTTTCCTGAACTTAAGTATAGGGACAGGGGTGTATTTAAGAAAATAGATTTTGGAATTTTTGCAAAACTGATTTTTTTTTAAATTTAAAAATGCCACACCATGTGTCATGTTAAACATTTTTGAAATCAAAAGTATATGTCTACAATGAGTGGTTGCGAAAATAAAGGCTGGGTAAGCACTTTTGTGGGCATGATGTATGTTGCTAAGGCATTGTCTTTTTCCCTGAATGAGTTTTTTAGTATTAGCTAAGTTTATGTAATTAATAATTATAGTGTTGAATAATTTTTAATATAAATGTATAATAATAAGCACATCATAATTTGCAGTTTTTAATTGAGTTTGACTGATTAATATTTTACTGTTAGTTTATGAAAACTTTGTAATAGAGAAATATTTTTCAGGAAATTTATTCCTTTTTCAACAGTGAAAAGGATTAAACTGTTTCTATTAATTTTAAAATGTAAGCTGAATGCTAACAGAATAACATTTCCAATACTGAGCATCACATTTTAATTTATGGAACTACCCCCACAGTAGCATTTCATATTTAGGGAATTTTTATCTCTCTTGTACAAGTTTATTATGAGGTCTTGACACTTTCCAGCATGCTACCTTTTAAAGTTAGAATTTCAGCACATACACCCAAAAAAAAAAAAAAAAAAAGTTTGCAGTCTAATCAGGCCTAGAGGAGTACACAGGTAAACATTTGTACAGATAGCACTTACTGTTATAATTTTGTGGGCTCACTAAATCAGTGGAGCCTTGAAAAGAGCGCTGAAGAGAGCATTGCTGGGAAGTGTTTAATAGAGTAAATGATCTTGCCTACAATTAAATACAGATTCTGATTACCAAAGCAATTTAGCATTACCTAGAAAGCAACGCATGGAAGCCTGCTACTCTGTACCCCCCCCTCGCCAGAAATGTATCTCTCTGCTTTCCTTATCAGATTCATTGTCTGAAGGCAATTCATTTAGTATTATCATCTGCCTTCTCCGGTTCATTTGCAACTTCATTAAACGTTAAAAAAAAAAAAAAAAAAAAAAAAAAAAAAAAAAAAAAAAAACTATAATTAAAAAAAAATAACTGTAAAATAAATAAATGTGGACTATAAAAATGAAAACAAATCAAAACTACAAAAACTATCAAAATGTAGAGATAACAAAATTTTTTTAATGAAGGCAAGAGGAAACGAGAGAATTGCTTTAGTTAAAATCAAAGAGCTAACTGATAAAATTGCCCTTGACCTTCAGAGAAACATCCCAACAAAATGCTGGTCAGGATCAGAAGAATGCTTTCTGGCAGATATGTTTGGAGAAAGAGATCATCAGCTATGATGGAACTGTTGAATGGCCTTTGCAATCACCATATTTTACTTTGATGGATTTCTTCTTCTGGACTTATATAAAAGATCAAGTATTTGTTATGTCCTCTATTATACTTCTGTTACTTTAATAGGCACTTGAATGTCATAATGACTCTCCCTCATTTATGATTGTAACATGTGTCATCCTCACAGCACAGGGAGCAATAGGTGACTTCAGGAAATTTGAGGACTTGACTATCATCTGCAGCATTTATTACAGTTGTTACGAGATTAATCAAAAGGGAGAAATGGCCTTGATGTCCTTTTTCTTAAAGTAACTGACTGTATTGTCATATCACTGATGCCACTTTAACAGCTCTATAATGATTATTGTGCATGCAGAGATATGCTATCCAAAGTTATCACTGTAGCCTGCACTAGCCTTTATAAATGCGCTTGACATTAATGTGGATGTAATGCGAGTTCAGTTGCATGTTTTGTGTTTTTGGTTGATGTCATCAAACCATATTGTTATAATCCTTACCAATATAGATAAGGATATAGCATTTTTACCAGTTATAATTTTATGCTAATGTGCATCTTTTTTCAACAAACATTGCAATAAAATGTCACAGATTGAAACATTTTAGCCCGCACAGGTGACTACTAATCACATCTAGGTGCATAGTATGTCTTTTCATACTAAATCAATGATGTTTTACAACTTTGTAATTGACTTAATCATATCTCCAATCGTTTCAGATGTTAGGATGCTTAGTTCTAACTTACATCCTAATAGCTGATGGTACTGGCTCTATTCATCTATTATTTAGAAAAACGGAATTTTATATTCTCCCCTTGTATGTATGTGTATTTTCTTCAGTGTGTTCATATTGTAATTCAATATATACATTTTCTGCTTAGTATTTCAATGCTTTAAAGCAGTAGATGTAAGGATAGGAATTTGTCCAGAATCCTTATCCAACCAAACTGTGTTGT